CAGAGCATTTCTTCGTATGCTTGTTAGAATTTGGGGCTTCTTGGGGGGCCTGGGTGGCTCAGTCGCTTAAGTGTCAGACTTCGGCTCAGGTCATAATCTCGTGGTTTGTGGGTTCGAGCCCCTCATCGGGTTCTGTGCTGACAGGTCGGAGCCTGGAGCCTGCTTGGAGTTCTCTCTCTCTCCCTCTCTCTCTGCCCCTCCCCCATTCTCACTCTCTCTGTCTCAAAATATGAATAAACATGAAAAAACTTTTATAAGAAAGAATTTGCAGCTTCTTTATTATGAACTCCTACTTTATGTTCTTTGACTATTTTTTGATTGGGATTCCCGGTTGTTATTGTTGGTGTTTGTAGATTTACAGCTGATCATATATATCCTAGGCTATCGGTCCCTAATTAATTTTAAATGTTGTGCATTTCTGCCTTGTGTCATTTGTCACCTTTGTCCGGGTTGTCCTTCATTGAACAGAAATCCTCAATGTGACATACTCAAAGTCCATCTTTCCCCACAGTTCATTCAAACCATAGCTTGTACTCTGGAGGTCTTGCATAGGAAGTCCTCCCATGGCCACAAGATAATCTCCTATAACTTCATTATGTTTATGTTTTTCTTCCACATTTAGGTCTTTGATGCATCTGCAGTTGGACCTTGCTGTACCACTAGTTAGGCATCTAATTTTTTCCTTCTCCCTGTAATGACCCAGTTTCCCCAACACCTAAATAATCCTTCCTTTCCCCACTGAAATACGGTACCCCCTTTAGTGTTTATGAAGTTCCCACAGACACATGCGTCTCTGTTTAAGCCCCCTCTTTGCTTCTTTGGTGCAGCATTCCAACTTTGTTCATGCGACAGTGGCTTTGCAGTATGTCAATATGTGATGGGATGGGATATCTCTCTTTGCTCCTTTTTTTCTCAGTTGATTTTGCTATTCACAGACCTTTATTCTACAAAATGAGTTCACTGAATCCTTCAAAAAAGCCCAACTGGAATTGAGATTGAGACTGAGTTGGATTTATGGATTAATTTGGAGAAGTTTGACATCTTTTAAATATTATGTGACCCCATCAAAAGCATGAAATAGCTACATGGGGGGGTTTAAATCTTTTGACAATTAATTTTTTTTTTTTTCCACAGAGGTCATGTGCTTTCTTTTTAGGTTACTTTCAAGACACTTCATGGCTTTCTTGTTCTTGTATAGGATAAAGTTTTTATTGCTATTATGTTTTCTGCTTATTGTTCACATAGAAAAATTTACTGATTTTTTTCTTAAGTTCTTTTGCATTCAGTAACCTTGCCAAGCTTTCTTATTGGTTCCAATAATTTATTGATTCTGGGTTGTTTGTTTTATCTGTCTATAACTTTCTTTCCTTGGACTGCTCTCATCTAATTTAGGGATCAAGGGGCGCCTGGGTGGCGCAGTCGGTTAAGTGTCCGACTTCAGCCAGGTCACGATCTCGCGATCTGTGAGTTCGAGCCCCGTGTCAGGCTCTGGGCTGATGGCTCAGAGCCTGGAGCCTGTTTCCGATTCTGTGTCTCCCTCTCTCTCTGCCCCTCCCCCGTTCATGCTCTGTCTCTCTCTGTCCCAAAAATAAATAAACATTGAAAAAAAAATTAAAAAAAAAATAATTTAGGGATCAAGATTACACTGATAATCTGATAAAACTAATTAAATGGTTTCTTTTGTTCTTCTCCTTCTTTTGAAATAACTTGTATAAGATGAGAGTTTTTCTCTATCTTGAAAGCTTGATAGAATTCACTTGTAAAACCATCTGGGCCTCGACCTTTTTGTAACAAAGAGACCTAGATTACTATTTCAGTAACTTTAAAATGTATAGTGCTCGATTCAAGATCAATTACTTCTTCCTGAGTAAATGTTTGCTCTTTTATTCTTCCAAAGATTTGTCTTGGTTTTAAAATGTGTTACCTTTCGGCTTTTCCTAATACTTAAAAATTCTGTTGGCATTTTTCTCGTATCAGTAGGTGTTTTCCTCAGTTTTAATCTGTATTTGATTATTTGTATTGAGTTACCTATCGTAATTGAACTTTTTGAAGAAACAATCTTTTGTTTCATTAATTTTTTTTTTTTCTGTTGCTATGGTTGTTTCCTCGACTTCACTGATTCTTGTCATTAAAGATTGACTCTAACGATGAGTCTCTGTAACACTTCCACCACCTTTTGGTTACACAAAGAATATTCAGTTTCCCAGCACTACATTTTGACTATTGCAAGATATTATTTTTAGGTACTCTGAGTTTTCTCTTCTCAAAATAAATCATCCCCAGGAGTTCTTTCAACTGCCCTCACGCGGGACTATCTCCGGTCCCCAGGCCTCTTTCCTCTGGACTTTTCCAATCTGCCAGTGAGTCTCGTAAATGGCAGGGCTCAGGATACAGGACACGTCTCCAAAAGTGGTGAAACGGAGCTGAGTGAGAAAAAAACCACCTCTTTCCTTTTAAATGTTTTAGATTTAGTACTGCCGCCTGAGTGGGCACTAACTCCATTAGCCAACACCTCACAGTGGGACTCACCTTGAACTCAGGGCCGACCCAAACCCTGTCTCTGCATGCTAGTGACTGGTTGATTCTGACTCCTCTTCTGTTCTTGAGAAGTTGGAGTAACTGACTCCTTCATTTTAGTTGGGAGCTATTCTTTCCCCCCGACTGTTCAGTTCTCTTCATTCATAACCTCAGCAAATATGTATGTAATAACTACGTACCAGACCGTGGAGATCTAGCAAGAGGACACGGCCCATCACAGCCCATTTCCCAGGGGAGTTTGCTTCTGGAATTTTTTTTTTTTTTAATTTTTTTTTTAACGTTTATTTATTTTTTTGGGACAGAGAGAGACCGAGCATGAACGGGGGAGGGGCAGAGAGAGAGGGAGACACAGAATCGGAAACAGGCTCCAGGCTCCGAGCCGTCCGCCCAGAGCCCGACGCAGGGCTCGAACTCACGGACCGCGAGATCGTGACCTGGCTGAAGTCGGACGCTTAACCGACTGCGCCGCCCAGGCGCCCCACTTCTGGAATTTTTGAATGAACCCAAATCCATTCATGAATTCATCCACTTGGCAGACACAGAGTTAAACTCTACTGGGTGCTTCCTTCTTTCCCCTTTTGCCCATCACTTACCCTCATGCCCGCCCCGCCCCCCCCCCCGCCGTGGGAGGAGTTGTAGAGGTGAGGGAGAGGGGAGCGAGGCCAGGCCATTGGTGAGAACCTCCTTCCCTGACTGGAACCCAGAGCCACAGCCCAGCCCCAGGGTCTCCCAGAGAGAGAGGACACCCAGGATCCAAACTGGCCCTCCAGCCACATCAAAGGCACTGCTGGGCTCTGGGAAAGCAGAGAAATCCTGTCGGTTCCTCTTGGGAGAGAGAGTGCCTGGAATCTGAGATTTCTTCTCAGTGTGTCTGCCAGTCAGGCACCAGGGCTTGGGGCTGGAAGGGCCATCCCCCCATTTTACAAGGGGGGAGACTGAGGCCTCTGCCGGCCCGGCCATGGGCCCGGGGCAGGGGGCTTTGCTGGCATTCTACCACACCCCAAGTCAGTTTCATCATGGAGGTTGTGGTGGGGGCCAGGACCCAGGTGGGGTCGATGGGCCTCCTCCATGGGCTCGGCAGCCCTGAGAAGCCAGAAAAGGGATTCTGGAAAAGGGATCCCGGAAAGGGGCGTCACCCCAAGGGTGGGGAGGCTCGTCGGAAGGGGGAGAGGCTTATCACAAGAAGCTGCTGGGGCCAGACTCTGTGATGGCACAGGGGAGGTATGAAGAGGTGGTCAGGCTCGGAGCCTGGAGCCTGCTTCGGATTCTGTGTCTCCCTCTCTCTCTCTCTCTGCACCTCCCCCGCTCACGCTCTGTCTCTCTGTCTCAAAAATAAATAAAACATTAAAAAATAAAATAAAATAAAATAAAATAAAATAAAAATCTGAAAAGTCCTGCCATAGACTCTAAGTTCCAGGAGGCTTAGAGGCGTGTCTGTCTTAGCCACGGCACCGACGTGGCAGTTTGAGAAGCACGTGTCTGGGAGCAACTCCCCCAGTTTGGCTCTGGGCGTGGCTTTTAAACCCTGCACCTCTGTTTTGTCGTCCATAAAATGGGGATGACGGTAACAGTCCGTGCCTCAATAGAGCCACGAGGGGGATTAAAGAGGTGGATACAGAGAGGGCTGGTCCACGGTTATCAGTATTTCCGGCCCACTTGGAGCATTTTCTACACCTTCCTGGTCCCCGAGGTCATAGGCTATGTTCTGGCTTTATTCAGGTGCCTGCCTTGCCTTTGGTGTTCATCGTTTCTCCTTATTTGTTGCCCAGATACCACAGTGATGTCATTGTGGGGGTGGGCGATACAATTGTGCGGAGGACTGCACGGTGCCCCCCATCCCTTACAGCCGCGCTCCTTTCCATTAGTGTGTTAACTAATACTCTTCATTAGTCAACACATCCAGCCGATATTTATTGAGCATCTACTATATGCCAGACTTCACTTCAGGTGCTAGACTTAAGAGCAATGAAGAAAGACAGAATCCCTGCCCCCTCCCCATCCTCATACACCTTATCATCTAATAAAGGGAGACAGATATGAAGGTAAGTAAATAAACACACAGGGTAATTCAGTGTAGGTTCAGGGTCACATGCTTCCCTTTTTTTTTTTTAATTTTTTGATGTTTATTTATTTATTTATTTATTTTAATTTTTTTTTTTCAACGTTTATTTATTTTTGGGACAGAGAGAGACAGAGCATGAACGGGCGAGGGGCAGAGAGAGAGACACAATCGGAAACAGGCTCCAGGCTCTGAGCCATCAGCCCAGAGCCCGACGCGGGGCTCAAACTCACAGACCGCGAGATCGTGACCTGGCTGAAGTCGGACGCTTAACCGACTGCGCCACCCAGGCGCCCCTGATGTTTATTTATTTTTAAGAGATAGAGCATGAGCAGGGGAGGGGCAGAGACAGAGGGAGACACAGAATCGGCAGGAGGCTCCAGGCTCTGGACTGTCAGCGCAGAGCCCGACGTGGGGCTTGAACTCACGACCTTGAGATCAGGAGCTGCACGCTCTCCCGACTGAGCCAGCCAGGCGTCCCTGGCCTTTCTTTCTCAGTCAACTCCAGCCAGGAGGATGTCAGGCTGGATGTGGGCCAGCCATCACCACGAAGGGAGAACTTCTCAGAACGTAGGAAGAACAGAGGCAAAAGCCCAGAGTCTGAGAGGCAGAGACCAAGTCCTAGAAAGACTGTAAAAGGCAGGTAAATATTTACGATAAAGTAAATATTTACGCTAAAGCTTACTAAAGCTTACTGTATTTAGGCAGGTAAATATTTACGATAAAGTAAATATTTACGCTAAAGCTTACTGATGTCAAAGATGTGTGGGTAACACACGGTTAACAATAAATACAATAGGAGTGCCTGGGTGGCTCGGTCGATGGAGCGTCCAACTTCGGTTCAGGTCATGATCTCACGTCGCGGGAGTTCGAGCCCCGCGCTGGGCTTGCTCCTCTCAACGCTGAGTCCGCTTCGAATCCTCTGTCCCCATCTCTCTCTGTCCCTCACTCGCGCTCTCTCTCTCTCAAAAATAAACACTAAAAAATAAAATAAAAGTTAATATAATCTACAACACTCTTTACTCTAGATTCCATACGACCAGGTGACTCGCAAAGAAAGCTTTCACTGTGGCCATCTCCACTAGCCGTAACCAAACCAATGGTGGCAACTTAAGGATGAGGGCACTTGGGGGG